GGGGGGGGGGGGGGGGGGGGGGGGGGGGGGGGGTAAGGAAAGCACGAACATGGCGTTTTTTTCTTGCAAGGTTCAGGCTTTACATGCCCGAAGTGAAGCCTGGCCGTTGGCAAGCACATTACGGCTCAACAAGTGCGTGCCACTTCGCTCCACTGCACAACACTGGTAATGTATCGGGATTCGGGATCTCGTTTTCGTCCGCATACATTGGAAGAGTTCGGTCAGTCCGGGTCTACCTGCAACAAGATACATAGTCCATTTTCATTTACAATGTTCTGTAGTGGAGCCAGGCGTACAGAAGCAGTGCAGAACTGAAACCTCAATCTGAACGGAGAGAGATCTCAGATCAGCAAAAGACATCCAGAATCCAGATTCAGGCCCTTGGGGAAGCAATGCGGCAGCGTTCCAGTCCTCCCTCGTTCCTTCCCTTGGTCGTACTTTACCACTCCTCCCTCCTTCCTTCCTTACCTTCTTCATCCGAATAGAACGCCCGGTCATTATCGCTGTTACAGTATCTAGACTGAGAGTTGCCCCATATATTTGGCTATAACGACCAGGCGTTCTATTCGGGTGAAGACGGTAGTACTTCCAAGTTTTCTACCCTTGGTACTACTGTAGCAGTCCTCCCTCATTCAGTCTGTCCGTCCATTGCTGGAAAGTGTTTTCAACTATTTTGCAGGGTGCCCAATTGCCAATATGCGGTCCAAAATCCTTCGTCTCTGCAGCGGGCCTTCATCTGCCCTGGCCCACAGCCAGGGCCTATTTGGCTATTTGCCAGTCCGGCCTGTGGGACCAGGCCGTGGCCTGACCCCACAGGCCGTGCGGTTATTCAGTCCAGTCCAGTCCTGCCCGGTACCACTGTCGGTACCAGACCAGTCCAGTCCAGTCCAGTCAGTCCGTTGGGGGTATACCCCAGGTGCAGTCTGTCTTGTGGTATTCTTCATTTGCACAGATTGGAGTACGTGCGTGTTGAGTCTGTGTTGGAGCTGCGCTGTCCCTTCCAGCTCCATCTCCATCTCCCCCATCCTCATCCCTTCATCTTGATCCTGACGGACCGCCATCCCGGCGGGTCCGTCACACTGGTATCGGAGGAGGCATTCCTCCCTGCTCCTCTCCCCCACCCACCCCACCTATCAGTTGCCACGTGGCTTGAGCAAAAAAAAAAAAAACGCTCGCCACTTTTCTTTGGTAATGACACCGGTTCACTCTTTCGATCGTAACTTCTGTAACGGTGGTCCAAATTTATTGATCTTTAGCTTGTTGGAAAGCTCTCGACGAGCCGCTTCCAACACGCTATAAATCGCCCAATTCTGTGCGGTGGTTGAGGAGCTACGATCTTTCAAAGATCACAATTTTTAAAAAAGCTCCAAAAAACCACCCGTGCTCGTTTTTTCAACGAGCGCTATTAGTCTAGGCAGTGGCTGATGCTGCGCCTTATCTCGTTGGAAGCGGCTTTCAAAAAGCTTTCCAACATGACCTTTTTTACCAAATTTCACCCAGCAGGTGAAAAGTTATTGGCAAAAGAGTTTTTGCCCTCTACATCTCCTCTTTTGACCCGTGACCATTTCCAAAAGTGCCACGTGACAGTTTGCTGAGGATTTTTTTTTTTTGAAGACCCCCCTGGCTAGGGGGCTGCACTATTGTGGAACTGGGTGGCTGATCAAGATCTCAGCCAACCCCAGATAATGTGCAGCAGCAGTTCATCACCACCTTGAAGACTCCTTCTCCGAAGGGGTGTGTGAAGGCCAAGATCTTGTGGATCTTGGTGAAGTTGTATGCTCTTGGTTACCCAAGAGCTGGGTATCACCTCTCTCATCCCTAATTCACTCTCCCACTCCCTTTTCCCTCTCTCCCCTTTATCATCTGACCTTCTTTTTCTCTCACCACCACTCATCCATCACCTTTTCTCACTCCTCTCTCCACTTTTCTCATTTCTCTCCTCTTCTCCCCACTAATCTCTCATCCCCTTCACTCTTTCTCCATCCACTACCATATTTTTACTCTCTTCTCTCCCAACCTCACTCTCCTTGCTTCTTTTCCCTACTTTTCTCCTCTCCTTCCCCTTAATCTCTCATACCCTTCCCTCTTCACTCATCTCCCACCATCTTTTTCTCTCCTCTCTCTCCACTCACCTTCTTTTAGTAATCTCTCACTCTTTTCTTCACCTTTTCCATAGCTTTCTTTTTCATTCTTTTACCCTCCTCTCCTCCTTTCTTCTCCCAACTACAACCCCATCATCTCCCTCACCTACCACTTCAATCTTTTCTCTTTCCCACCTATTTTT